CCAAAACCCCAAAACCCCAAAACCCCAAAACCCCAAAACCCCAAAACCCCATAGTCATGTTAGAATTTGAATTGTGTAAATAATTAAGAAATAAAATGAACTTAAACATTAAGACAAATCCTTCATCAATGAGTAATCCTCTCAAAATCTCTACCAATAAAATACTCATAACAAACAAAACTCCAAAGCCTACCTGCTTTCACAACCTCAAATCCTAAATGTATTTAGCTGATGATGCACCTCTGACTTAGAGGGGGATAACCTCTTCACAGTCTCAAAGCCTTTAAAGTCTTTCAATAGAAAATAATGATAAAGGGGCAAAGAATTAATATTCCTCCATTATCACTAAAGATCCTAATTAAAAATCAAGACTTTAGATTCCTGATGATATTCTTGACTTTGGTAATCAAAATAAAAGCAGTAAATTCCCTGAGGAAAATGAATAAAATATTTCCCCCAGGGATAATTAACACCCTTTATCTCAAAGGCTGAGTGACAAACTGCAAATAGGAACCTAGCAAATTTAGCTGAATAACAATTATAACACAGCTTTGTAGTAAACAGCTGCATCTACTAATATCCTATCTCCATAGTCAAATGCATACATTCAGACACCTTTGCAAAAGAAAAACTAGGAATTCGAGAAAAGCTTGTAATAAACAGAGAAACTAATTAACAGTGCAAGAAATTAAGAAAGCAAGAATCTCATTAATTTGGAGAACGTTTTGCTGGTTGAAGATAAACTTTGGACTATTCTTGAGTCTTTTAGGTACCTTTAACATCAAGCTCTAGGTTAAAGACCTTCAACTTTAACTTAAGAATAGGCCATTACTGTTGCTTAGAAAAAGTAAGCTGACATAGCAGTTTTATGTGAAGAGTGGTGGGAGATCACTCATGAAGATAATCTTAATTATTTGGACAGACTGTTTAAGGATGAAATCGTGAGAAGAAGTGTTAGGTAATCAATAATATTAGAACTTCTAAGTGTGACAATATGTTACGCTATCACCAGCGAAAAAAGCAGCGATTAAGACGCCTAACTAAGTCTAAGTACTCTGACAAACTTGAAAAATCTGCTGTTCTACACACATCAAAACTTTTTAGTTTTGATAGATGTAATCATTCATAGACTACCCCCTGAATCTTCTCATAACATATGGGCTCATTCATTGCAAGCAATTCTTCTTAATAAAAGTTCCAAGAAATTACTACATCAAACTGGAAAGTCCAAAGGTGGTATTGCAGATAATGCTGCACCACTTTTAATCTAAAATAATGAAGCTGTCGGAGATTTGATTAGAGCTTTGAGTAAATCTAGCAAAGAAGATTAAATGAAGACACAGCTTAATAAACCAGTATTTCAATGCTGCTTAGGTTTGCTTAAGAAGATTACAAAGCATTCAGTATCTCAGGTACGAGATCATTTGTTTTCTTTACTTGAATAATTTACAACACATCTCTTGTAAAAATAGAACTAACACATTAACCAGAAGAATAACATAGTTGATAACTAGGATGACAGTGATTACCTACCAGTTGTATATCCCCCATTCTTGCCACCCCTATCCTAAAGGTAATAAGATAAGATGTATACCTTGGTGCTAGATCTTGATGAAACTTTAATCCATTACTTTGAAATGGGTAGCGAGGGAGGTCATTTCTTGATTAGACCTGGAGCTGAGAAGTTTCTTAAGGAAATGTCGCAGCTCTATGAAGTTGTCATATTTACAGCCGCAATGCAAGATTACGCAGATTGGGTTCTTGATCAAATAGATCCAAATGGGTGTATCAAATACAGACTATATAGACAACATGCAACTCAAACGGGAGCCGTATTCATTAAAGATCTTAGCAAACTTGGAAGGGACATATCAAGAGTTATCATTGTTGATAATGTAGCTGAAAACTTTTAGAAATAGCCTGATAACGGTATATTTATTAGAAGTTGGTTTGATGATATGACTGACACTGCACTTGAGGAACTGGGGCCACTTCTTAAAGAGATTGTTAGAAAGCAGGTACCGGATGTTAGAGTAGCCCTGAGAAGATTCAGAGATCAAATGATAGAGCAACTTGAGAAGGGCATTTCCAACCCAATTATGACTCTCGATTGATATGAATTGATAAATAACAGCTTATAAACGGGTATGAATATATCTATCAGATTGTTCTTCGATAATTCCAGGGAATTTAACTTGCTTACTATTCCTGATAAAATATTTGTTATTATATAATTATTTTAATTACCTTCATTTTTACTAATAATAAAAAGAGATTATGTTAAGAGGGTATATTTCTAACTATCTTCAAAAGAGGTCTATAATTGACATTGAAAATACCTCTAAGACTTAGAAAAATGACTAATTATCAAAGAGCCTTATAGACACATAGCTAAGAAGACTAAACTTTAAGCCTAATAATAAAAAGTTATCAGGCAATTTCACCTAGAGCAAGTTTAGAAATTAAGCTAAAGAAGATAAAAGCATTGAGATGAATGCAACTAATAAAATTGATAATGATAAATTAAACTCTCCCTACCAAAACATCACTTAAGATATTGAATAGGAGTCTAGAGAACAATTGTTTAGTAAGGCTTTTAAAATAAGGCATAATAAGAGATTCTAGAGTTTCAGAAAGACAGTATAAGAAGAAATATAGAGAAATTCTCCTAAAAATTAAAATAATCAGCTAAAGTCTAAGTATTCGTTAGAAAGACTCTCTAATAATGACTTCTAAGTAGTAATGTCAATGAAAAATGAACTAATTCAGATGCGTAAGACTTTCGGCAACAAGATCTCGGAGAAATTCTTGGATAATATTGAGGAAAGGCTTATAGTATTTATGGAGGACGGCAGTGATTTGAGAAATATGAAAATTGGAATTACTGAAGGAGATGACATATTCGAGTAATACCTTCAATAAACTAATAATTAGGAGAAAAAATTGTCAATCGAAGAGGACAATTCGGTTATCAAATGGAAGAAGCACCCAAAGCAAGTAGTTCTCAACGTAAATAAGTATATTGCTAAATATAACTTTGAGATTGCTAGGAAGCTAAGTGGAGAGTATTATACAGAAACAAAGGAAAATAATAGATAATTAATGTTTGATTTAAAAGCATTACAAGAATTATTACAAGATGTTTCAAATACGATAAGTGGTGGTAAAAAGGTTTATAACTCCCTGTTCACAGTAAATGGAAAGTTTATTAAAGATTTAAAAAGTATACCTTCTGATTGTAGGCTAGTACTCTGCTCAAACGCTGAAATATAATAGCAAATACTTGAAGAAGATAAAAGTGCAAAAAATTATTAAGAACCAAAGTAAACCTTTCAAGGAATAAAAGGCAATATCTACCACTTTGAGAGTTTGGACTAAAATCATCAATTTGAATCTAAGAGAATTAGGAGGCATATAAATTAGTCGAAAGATCGATGGTTCTACCAGAATCTAAATAATTGGAATCATATTACGCCAGGTATTTAGTCACATCATAAATTGGAGGATCTAAATTTGCATTTCAAAGATGACTCAGAAACTCGAATCTCAAAAAACTAAATTCAAAGTAATCACCAACAAGCTATGGATAAGCTCAATAATCTGAGTATGAATAGAATTAAAACAGCTTCATTAATGTCAAGAGAAGAGTAAAAAGCTAGAAATTCACATGGAAATACTTATTATAACAAGGGTCCCGATGGACAAGTAAACCATTTTAGCAATTTCAGTATTTTAACTGGAAATCATGCTTACAATTCCCAATTGCAATTTAATCATAATAAAGCATAGAATTTTGAGCCAATGAGAATGGAAAACTTCTTTAGGAAAAAGGAGCCATACTCATCAAATGTTTCAATGCTATCTCATCCAAAATAAAAAAAGCAAATAGACTAGCTGAATTTATTGAACTTGTAAATGCCAGAAGAATTAGAAGATGAAGAATTAAATCTTAAAGCCTTAAACAATAATCACTATGATCAAAATCAATCAATAATAAATGAGAATTACATTAAATCTTTTATGACTGAGCCATTCAACTAATAAATCATAACTCCTCTTAGTAATCAAAGGTAGCAATCTTTTGGAATCTAAAATCATATTTAGTAAAAGGGAATCTTAAAGTTATAGAGCATGAAAATTAATCCATAATTTGTGTCTGATTTCAATAACAATCCGGATTTTTCTCCAAGGTCAGCAATGACCAGAGATAAAAATAATCATATAGTGTAAAAGCTCAATCTTAAATCAAATTCAAGAATAAATTCAAACATGAATCGTAAAAAGACCCAGTCAAGCATGAATAAGTCATTCAAGACATCCAACATTAATGATTAATATTCAAGTTCCAATCATCACCAAAAACTAACTTACAAAGATATTGAAATGTGGTCTGCTAAGTATGATTTATCCTGGAAGGAGATATATGAACTTGACTCAGAGTTTCAGAGTCTTCTCCAAATAGAAAAAGAGAACAAAGATAAACTACTTAAGAGAGTATAAGAGATGAGATTCGATCCAAATATAAATAGTGGAATGATTCAGAATGAAATGAGCATGATTCCATAAGTAGAGTAGAAGATCGGGGATAATGAGCCAGGTATTACTTTGCAAACTTTCAAGGATTATTCAAAGATGTTTGTTGGAAAACATAAAGAAGTAAGAAGAAATTTAATTCAGGCGTTTGGAATCGATATTTCTAATAAGAATACCAAGATTGTATGGGAGTAATACTTACAGATAAAATGTTTCTTGCAGTTTTTCACTCTACCCAAGACAGAATTGATTAAAATATGGATTAAGATCTTGGATCCAAATGGAATAAGACATATCTTGAGATCTAGGTTGCTTGAGTTTCTCGAGATATTAGCTAGAGGCACCGTAACTGATGAATAAACACTAGTAAGTCGTGAATTTGCCAAAAACATAGTTAGAGTCTTCGAGATGGAAGATTGTGTTAGCGATAATGGAAATGAAATACTAATGGAAAAAGTTGAAGATGCTTTTAATACTGGAATAATGGACATAGAAATTTTAAATCAAGTCCTTAGAGTCGATTGTCTTTACGTTGTTAAGTCAAGACATTATAACTACGATATATGATTCAATTCAAGTCTCCAATTTAATTTATATAATTCATAATCTCTAGTATCGATTTTATGTATCTTTAGGGGTTTTGGGGTTTTGGGGTTTTGGGG